ACAGCTGGAACAAGAAAGGTGGTAGTCAGAAATACCCACGTCTACCTCACACCCCGGGAGTTCCTGGGAAAGCAGCTTCTACACTCTGGGAAGCCTGTCTATTCAAGCCGCTTCTCTCCCTTGTAGCCATTAGGGTTAAACTGCAAAAGAACGGCTCAGCTGGGCCAGATGGCAGCACAACAAACAGCTCCTCCCTCCCCCAACTGCCACGTGCTGCAGCCATGCTTATGTGCCAGGGAGGCGGCTGAACCCCTTGGCTCTTTAAAAGAATAGCCACCGAGGAGGGCAGCAGGTTGTCCCTGCCAGCAGCCTGAGCACAATGGAGACAAACCAGAGGGAGAGCTGCCCTGACACATCACTCACTTGCCCTCCTCGCCCGTCACCAGAGGGGCCCCCAGAATCCATGCCCACAAAGGTTAATCTGCAAGGTGTCCGGCTGGCAGTCAGGAGGACGGTCCAGCATCAGTCCCATCACCACTCCTTTCCAGGGTTCTAATTTAATGAAGGGGATTAAAGTGACAAAAACAACAAGGAGCTATTGTGCTTGGCTGTGAATAGGAAAGCCACACAAGGGAAGCTTTCATTTATTTATTTATTTAAATGTTGCTTTGCAGATTTTAACAGTCGGCAGAAACCCAGAGCTGAAATGGGTTCCAGCCAGTGCATACAAAGGAGGACTGTCTTAAAGGGACAGAGCCCTCTTTCCAAGCCAGAGGACCATAAATGAGCCCACGGCGTGCTCTATTCTAAAACCCTGCCTGTGCTCCACTGGCCACAGGCAGACGCTGGTGATATGCCATGAAGTTCCCTTGAAAATGCAGCTCTCTGACAGCAGGTTCTGCTTGGCACACACACAGCAGCTGCCAGGACCACACTGTCCTAAATCCCCATGAAATCCCCGTGAAATGAAGGTGTCCAAGGCATGCTTTAGGACCGAGATGTCTCTCTTTGAGGTCATCCAGCTAGCTTTAAAATACACCACTTGCCTTATTTTTTTCCACCATAATTATTAACCGGCATCCTTCTTACAGCTTCTGCCTTTCAATGGATAAGAAGGTCCATATTTAAACCAGCACCACAGGGAAACATTTCATAAAGTAATTAAGGAGTGAGCCCTCATTTGCAGAGAAGATAACTATACAAAAGATAACTGCCTTAGTCAGAGTTGCTTCCAGGCCAAGGAGGTCATTGCCATTTCCCTTTCAGCCCCATCTAGCTGGCCTGCTGCCAAGGGGTGCCCTCCTGCTAGTCACCGCCACACCCCTTTACAGACCTGAAGTTTCATAAACACTGAATACACACACACACACACACACAAACACACACACATTCATTCTTAACCTTACGTTCTGCCTAAAACAGCAGCAGCAGTAGTGAAATAAAGCACTCAGGTTTTCTACAGCCTCTACAGAAACTGCTGTCTGCTCAGAGGAGAACCGGCTATTTACAAACCAGGTTTTTGGGTTCAAAAGTGCAAATCTGGGAAACCAGCTTCTTCCTCCACTTCCATAGACAACAGTGATCACAGGGCATGAGGGATAAGAAGCTCCAAATGTCCTGTTCCAGTATTCAGCACTCACTCACCAAACACCTGTGTAAACCCTACTAGTTAGACCCTAAACAAAACAGCCCATTAACCTCCCTCTGCACTACCCTAGGGGTGGTAAGTCACTTTGTCTCCCAGAAAATCCCAGTAACTTATAATTTGAAAAATTTCAAAATACTGGAAAGAGGCCAGGTGTGGTGGCTCACACCTGTAATTCCAGCACTTTGGGAGACCAAGGTGGGCAGATCATTTGAGTCAGGAGTTCCAGACAAGCCTGACCAGCATGGTGAAACCCCATCTCTACTAAAAATACAAAAATTAGCTGAGCACGGTGGTGGGCACCTGTAATCCCAGCTACTTGGGAGGCTGAGGCAAGAGAAGCGCTTGAACCTGGGAGGCAAAGGTTGCAGTGAGCCAAGATTGCACCACTGCACTGCAGCCTGGGAGACAAGAACAAAACTCTATCTCAAACAAACAAACAACAAATACTGAAAAGAACTCAGGCTCTGGAGACATGCCAATGTTCAACAAACTGCTAATCTCTCTGGGCCTCAGTTTTGTCCATCTGTAAAATGGCACTGCAGTTGGCACTGTTGTGCTACTGTTAGCATTGTTGTGAGGAATATGTGATGGAAAAAATAAAACAGTGAGCACAAGTAGGTACCCAACAAATACCAAATTTCTTTCCTTTATCTGTATATCCAATTCATGTTCCTCTTTTGCTTCTTTCTAACGATGTCATATTGACTCATTCAGCCTACATTTACTGCTCGCCTACTAGGTGGAAGGCAACGGGGGCACAACACTGAAGAGACTGATCTGGTTCCTCCCAGCAGGAGCAGCAGTCCCAGGAAGCATCACAGAGAAGGTGGTGATTTCAGGTGCATGTGTTAACAAGAGATCATGCACAAGCTGTGTGAATCCACGGCATGGGTGCCTCACCCAACTCCTGGGACGATCTGGGGACTGCCACTCTACAGGTAGTGGTCTTGGGTCCTAAGCCTAGTGTGGGGCCATATTCACCAGCTGGGTGACTCTGGGCAAGTTACTTTAGCTATCTGTGCCTCAAAGCAAACAGTAAGCTAAGAGGAGAGCAGGATGCTGTTTTAAATGACTACAGCTTTTATATCAAATGGGTTATGTGTATATCAAAATACGAATAACCCACAATAATACAAAATCTAGTAAGTTAAAAACTATAGGATAAGAAGGCAGTGCTGTGAGGCACGGCTAACAACTGCAGGTAAGGCAGCAAACAAGAAAAAAATAGTCGAGGATTCAAAGATAAAGTTCTTATAGACCATTACTACAAGTGGAGAATAGGTTGGTTTAGGGAATTTTTTTCTCCTCACTGAGAAAAGTAAAACTCCATGCTGACAGTACAAATACATGGGGTCAGATCTTTAAGACAGGGATAAGAACGCAACCAAAATTCAGAGTATCTTTCAGGTAAAATTTAACTGTAGAGAGATGTAAAACAAACAGTTGCAATGTTACCAGGATTTTGCTGGAAGCCTCAAATTTAGAGACAGTCCTCAGGATAATTGTTAGGATCAGAGGATGAAGAAAGATGGATGTAGAACAGGGGTGTGACTACAGCGGGAGACCCAGGTGACACTTTCTGCCAATAATACACTGAAGGTTCACACCTTCACACAGTCTATCTACTTTGGGAAACCAATTAACTTTCCCACCCACTGAGTCAGAAACACAGTAATACTTCTTAAACTCAGTACCTTAAAAAGGAAGGAAATTCTGATATATACTACAACATGGATGAAGCTGGAGGACATTAAGCCAGTCATAAAAAGGCAAAAACTAAAGGATTCCACCAATAAGCAGCCCCTGGAGTAGTCAAACCATCATAGAGACAGTGGAATGGATGTTGCCAGGGGCTGGGGAGAAGAGGAATGGGGTGTTAGGGAGTAATGGGGAGTTTCAGTTTTGCAAGATGAGAAAGTTCTAGAGACTGGGTGGCACAATAATATGAATGTATGAATGTACTACCGAAATTAACATGTATAAGACGGTAAATTTTTTGTTATATATATTTTACCACAATTAAAAATAGAGGCCTGGCATGGTGGCTCATGCCTGTAATCCCCCTAGCACTTTGATTTTTTTTTCTTTTTGAGACAGAGTCTTGCTCTGTTGCCCAGGATGGAGTGCAGTGGCGCTATCTCAGCTCACTGCAACCACCACCCCCCAGGTTCATGTAATTCTCCTGCCCCAGCCTCCTGAGTGTAGCTAAAACTAAAGGTGCATGCCACTGCACCTAGCTAATTTTCTTTTTTTTTTTTTTGAGACAAAATTTTGTTCTGTTGCCAGGCTGGAGTGCTATGGCGTGATCTCGGCTCACTGCAACCTCCAACTCCCGGGTTCAAGCAATTCTCCTGTCTCAGCCTCTTGAGTAGCTGGGATTACAGGCACACGCCATCACACCCAGCTAATTTTTATATTTTTAGTAGAGACGGGTTTCACTATGTTGGCCAGAATGGTCTCGATCTTCTGACCTCAGGTGGTCTGCCCACCTCCGCCTCCCGAAGTGCTAGAATTATAGGCATGAGCCATCGCACCGAGCCATCTCCAGAACTTTGAGAGGCTGAGGCAGGCAGATGGCTTGAGCTCAAGAGTTTGAGACCAGCCTGGGAGACATGGCAAAACCCAATCTCCACCAAAAAAAAAAAAAAAAATTAGCCGGGTGTGGTGGCATGCACTTGTAGTCCCAGCTACTCAAGAGGCTGAGATGGGAGGATCACGTAAGCCCTGGAATGTGGAGGTTGCAATGAGCCCAGATCGTACCATTGCATCCAGCCTGGATGACAGAGCAAGACCTTCTCTCAAAAAAAAAATTTAAATATAAAAGAAACAAAAATTTCACAGCAATATTCTAACTTCCCTGTCTGCTTACCATAGCTTCTTTCTGAAGAAACTATGATTTAACTTTTGTGTAGTGCATTTTAAAATAAGTATCTCATCACCAACTTGCAGCCTAACAGGTTTTTAAAAGAATGTACAGCCAGCCATGGTGGCGTATGCCTTCATAATCCCAGCACTTTGGGAGGCTGAGGCAGGTGGATCACCTGAGGTCAGGCCAACATGGTGAAACCCTGTTTCTACTAAAAATACAAAAATTAGCAGGGCATGGTGGCATGCACCTGTAGTCCCAGCTACTCGGGAGGCTGAGGCAGGAAAATCACTTGAATTTGGGAGGCGGAGGTTGCAGTGAGCCGAGATTGCACCACTGCACTCCAGCTCAGGCAACAGAGTGAGACTCCGCCTCGGAAAAAAAAAAAATTTACCGCCAGGCATGGTGGCTCACACCTGCAATCCCAGTACTTTGGGAGGCCAAGATCAGTAGATTACCTGAGGTCAGGTTTTCAAAACCAGCCTGACCAACATGGTGAAACACCATCTCTACTAAAAATGCAAAAATTAGCTGGGCAGTACGCACCTGTAATCCTGGCTTCTCATGAGGCTGAGGCAGGAGAATCACTTGAACTTGGGAGGCAGAGGTTGCAGTGAGCCGAGATTGCACCATTGCACTCTGGCCTGGGTGACAAAGTAAGACTGTCTCAAAAAAAAAAAAAAAAAAAGTACACACACTACCAAGGTCCAAAAAGAGTTAAATTAGCATGCAGCTAGCAGAAATGGTATTCAACACATAGGCAGGGGTGCCTTCCAGCAAACTGCCAATATGAATATTTAGACTATTCTAATTTAAATTCCTTTCATGCAAAAAATACCCAGTTTCCCCATGAAAAATAAGTCTATTAAAGAGATATTGCCAGATTCTGAATGTTTAGGGAAGACTGCAGTCCTATTCTCAGTCGTAGAGACAGCTCACCTAACAACTACCCAAGTTCAGAGGGGATGCTGCTTGGGCTTTCACTCACTACTTTGTGAACTTGAGCAAACAATGACCTCTTCCAGCTTCAGTTTCCTCACTTATGTAATGTCACCCAGGCCTTTCTCAACTATTTTATGAAAGGAAGGTATTGGCCAGGTGCGGTGGCTCATGCCTGTAATCCCAGAACTTTGGGAGGCCGAGGCAGGTGGATCATTTCAAGTCAGGAGTTTGAGACCAGCCTCAACAATATGGTGAAACCCCACCTCTACTGAAAAAATACAAAATTAGCCAGGTGTGGTGGCACATGTCTGTAATCCCAGCTACTTGGGAAGCTGAGGCAGGAGAACTGCTTAAACCAGGAGGTGGAGGTTGCAGTGAGCTGAGATCGTGCCACTGCACTCCTACCTGGGCAATAAGACCGAAACTCTGTCTCAAAAAAAAAGGAAGGTATTCTACCACCTTATTTTACATAAAGAGAATCTACAAATTTAATAAACCCTGGAAAGACACAGTTTGCATTTCAAGGTAGTAACAGAACCTAAGTGATAAAATTTTATCCTAAGAATTTGGTTTAGAAAAATAAAGTTAACGTCTACTTTCAATAAAAGCTAAAAACTGGAAAACAACCATTTTAAGAAGCTTAACCTCTTCTAAAACCTCACAGTGACAACGTCTGATATAGCTAGTGTTTCCTAGCAGCTTCTTTCTGGCACTTCACTGCTGTTTCAGAAGGATCCCAGGGACTGAATGCAGAGCTCCACAAGGAAGAACCATTTTCTACCACTAGCCTCCTTGAGACAAGTGGCATCGTCCTTCACTCCCTCAGGGGCAGCCTGGGAGTTCCCTCTTCCTCCAAACAAGCCAAATCATCTTGCTCACCCCTCCTCCCAAGGGGGCAGGCTCCTCTCCCCTGGGAGAAGAGCTGCCACTCCCCATGCCTGCCAGCTGCAACCAATGTCAGCTTGCACAGCTGGGCCACCACACCCCTTCTGTGTCCAAAATAGAGGTTTGGTGGCTTGGAAGTCAATTCTCTCTCACTTTACACTCGGTTGCTAAAATCTATTTGTTTGCTAGCCCTTTGTAATGCTCCAATTTTTATCTACATTGAAATATTCTCCCTTGGTCTCACAGCTGGAAAGGATCCCTAGCCTTAAATGCCATACACAATTCCAACTCCTTTTCTATGTGTATTGATGGAAAGAGGGCTACATGTGCCCAGGAAAGGTTCTTCCTGAGTAAAACAGAAACTCCGTGGGCGGAGGGACTAGAGGGGAGATCACCCTGAATCTGTCCCTCTGGCTTTCTGCCCGCCTATTTCGAACCTCATCGAAGCTGGAGGAAGAAAATTGACTACTGGCCTGTTCCTAAGTCTCAGGCCTAGAAGAAACTACACTGAACGCTTGGATACCTATCCAAAGGTGCAGTGGAAAAACCCTCAGAGGAGAGCACAGAATGCAGACCCAAAGGACAGACATGCAGAGACGGCCACACACACATTAGCTCCTGCTGCTGGGTGCTGGGTGGGAGAGGCAGGAAGGCAGCAACGCATAATGGGGGATCTGCAGCCAGGACTCCACACGCCATCCACCCACTTCTTACCCACGGTGAGTCCCCTCTCCTGCGGCCCCAGTGTCCTGGCAAGCCCTGGGCAGCAACATCAAAGCCTCGGCAGGTCACAGCTCTCCGCGTCAGAGGCCATGGTGGTTCTGTGCAGCGATCCCACAGTCCCAGGCTGCCGGGAGCTCCCACAGCTGTAGGTGCAGGGAGAGCTGGAGCAAGGACAGCATGTGTGCGCCAGCACAGCAGGGCCAGAGAAGAAGGTGTCCAGAGAAAACAAAAGCTGAGAGTACTGGCCCCGCAGGTGCAAACGCGCTGGGCCCAGTGGGGAAGGCCGGTGTGGACTGCAGAGATGGACGCGCAGAGCTGCAGCCCTAGCTGACGCTCCGAGTGTGTGCTGCTCCGCTCCTCCAGGCTCATTTCCATGAATGCAGTCACAGCCAGCCCCTCCTACTACCCCCCATTCTCGGCCTCCGGGGGGTGGGGGGGAGGGGAGGCACCACCAGCATTTGCGCACAGGCTGCACTTGCTTTCCTCTTTCCCTTAGAAGCAAAAGCCTGATGCCTGCTTTCACTGCAAGAATGCCAGCCTTACTTAAGATGCCCTCTCTTTACTGCATGGATAAACAAGAGACTGGATCTGGGGGGCAGATGTTCTGTTACCCCGAAGGCACAAGCCTAGTCCTTCCCACTGCCCTGCATCATCAGGTCAGCAGGCAAAGTGGCACTGACCAGACTGCTCCAACACTGTCCTGGAGGGCTTCAGGAAAAATGTCCTTTGCTCCCTTCCTCCAGGGATCCCATGCCCTCCGTTTCCACGAGGGACATTTTTACCCAGAAGGACTCGCCTCCTACTCAGTACACTTCCAGCCACCAATGGTTCTTTCTTTACCAGAGGCTGCTGCATTGCCTTCAAGGACACTTGCCTAATATTGGGTTGGGACGTTAGGCAAGTGAACCTTGGGGATGATAATACAAAATGGCTGGTGAGGAGAAATACGGCTACAGCCTGAGGGTAGTAGCTCTCAAACTTCAGATGGCAGAAGAAGCACAAAGCGCACTTTAAACAGGTAGATTGGGGACCCCAGTCCTAAAAGCATGAACTCCAGAGACCCAGGCCCCCATGTTATATAGAATACAAGGTTACTGCAGACCACATACAACTTCTGACTAACAAGGGAGGAGACAGAGATTTTTTAAACAATTCTAAAATAACCAAGGAGAGACAGTAGAGGGTAAATCATTGTGCTAGAGCAGGGTTCTTCAGTCTGGCCATTACTGGCAGAGGGAGCAGGTCACTCTGTGGTGGGGTCTTCCCTGTGCATTGCAGGGTGCTTAGCTATGTCCCTGGGCTCTACACACTAGATGCCAGCAGCACTGCCATCACCATCCCACTTCTCCCCAACCACATGTGGCAACCAAAACTGTCTCCAGGCATTGCTGAATGTCCCCTGGGGGGCAAAACCGCCAGGGTTAAGAACTATTGCTCTAGATAAACAATGAAGAAGGGAATGGGAATCCTAAAAACACTCCCATATCCTCCCTCCTTCCTAGTCTCCTGCCTTTAGGAAATCAGTAATGGGAGAAAAAAAAAAAAAAGGAAATCAGTAATGGAAGGCACCTACCCCTCTGCAAGCCCAGCCTCTACTGCCATGCCATGGGGGTTGGGCCGGCTGGGGAATGCAGACTGACGTCCTCATGACCAGGCAGTGCCACAAGGCCTGACCCAAATACGCTGGCTCTGCGTTGCAGCCTGTCTTTTAAGAAACAGCCATAGTGTGAACAACTTTAGTGTCAAGAGAGTAGTACTCACTTAAAAGAATCAGACCAAGTCCATGTAAAACAAATTCTAAAATTCTACATTCTACAAAATGTAGATTGAGATTGAGAGTCCCACTGTAGCACGTCCCTTGGCCCCCTGTCTTCCTCCTGCTCACTGTCTAGCAAGCCATCCCACCTCTCCTCCCAGTCCAGGGAAGATTTCACTTTCCCTGGATCCACCAGGGTGCTCAGTTACAACGTCTCTGCTTCTTTCCTTTTGTTCAGAAGCTCATCCCCGCCATCCATTGAGTCTTACCTCCTACAGGGAGAACTCCCTGATGACTCCAGCCATGCTCCCTGCTCAGTTTTTGCGTATTAACCATCACCTGATGACCTTCTCTATCACTTGGTAAATAACCAGGTGATAAATTACATGATACAAACACATTCAGAGAAGACAGCCTGGACTATCCACACTGGTTATCTACCACTGTGTATCCCAGGGATTTCACGTATATGTGAAATTAACCTCTCGCTTTTCAGTAATAACTTGTACTATAAATATTCTCATAACCCTTTTCTTAGTCCCAAGGACTGTCTTATTTTGAGGTGACATCACTGGTCTTTACACAAATACACATAAACACACACACTCTCTTCAGGACTGAAAGAGCCCAGCAGGTGAGTCCTGACCTATCCCTCTCTATGTAAGACTCGGTCACCATGTGCAAAGCTCACTATGCCTCTACCTTTAACAAGGCCAGCTTCCACTAAGCTGACAGAGCGGATCACAGCTGGGGTTTACTTGCAGTGTGTCAACCTAGGCAAAGGCTTTAGCTTGACCCAGGCCAGAGACTGCAGGTAGCAAAAACCTGCACTTTCAGTCAGTCAGTCCTAGGCACAGACAACATGAGACAAGGACATCAGCAGACAAGAAGTTAGAAAACAAGCTGCAACCAAGAAGCCTGCAGTGTGGCTCTCCTCATATCTGAAGAAAACATATGCCATAATACATACTGCACATTGAGCTTATGAAATCACAGCCATCAGAGAAAATCACAGGAAATGACTGGCCACGGAACAGGAATCTCTGGAATCCCAACAGAGAAAATGAACGTTTAAAATAATAATTTCTCGATCTCATAATTCAACAACCTTTTTAAAAGTTCACTGCATGGAAACAAGGCCGCTGTCAGTTACTGTGGAAGACACAAACCTGAAAAGACATGGTTTCAGCCCTCAAAGAGCTCATGTGTTACTATTCCTTTTAAAGAAAAAAGCAACCGACAGCTGGCCATGTTAAAGGGGTACAGGCATAGTAAGGGCCAAATAATGCTCTCTTCAAGGTGCGATACGGAGTGGGGGTCAGAGAAGAGCAGGGCCACGTTTGTCCAAGAGGGCTCCACACAAGAGCGGAGACTGGCATTCAGCCCCAAGCGGTCCAGGGAGAGGACAGTCCAGGCAGAGGTGGAAAGGGACAGAGTCTGGAAGAGCAAGCTCCAGGCAGACTGTGGGGCCTTTGAATTGGACATTGAGACAGTTGGATTCTATTTAGTTGCCCAGTAGGGCGAGAGACAAAGAAAGAAGCTCTGTGGAAGAGCCAGAAGCAGCAGCCCAGGCGCCATGAGAAGCAAAGGGCCTGGAAGCTTTGCAGTAGTCTTCACTGCACTGTGGTCTGTACTTCAACTCAGAAGCAGTAGCAAAGAAATAAGTGTTTTCTTGCCCTACTCTAGCTCACAGCTTCAACTACCATCCTTATCCAATACTAATTCCCCAAACCGCTACTGACTTTCCATCCTCTTTCCAGTTTTCTGTCTCAGGTGCAAGGAGTGCTAGCAGGAACCAGAAAGTGACCCTCTGACAAGTCTGCAAAGGAAACGTGCATCAGTCACCTTCTCTCTAAAGTGGAAAATAAGGCGTGAGGAATACATTCAAATCTTGCAATTCATCAGCATCCCAAACCCACTCATTCACAATGCTGCTGAAAGGTCCTCTCTGCCCATGAGGCGTCCCCAACCCCAAATCACCTAGGCCACAGGCTCCAAGCACCACAGACATGATAAGCATTCTTAGACAAGTCATGACTCTCAATCTCCCCTGCTTCCGTGCCCCATGAACACAGAGGCCTGGGGTTTTTTGGTTTTCTTTAAACTCTATTCCATTCCTTATACTTAAAAATGCCTCATTATTCTTTAGTAAACACTAAGAGCATAAAATGTTTCTTCAAAGAAGGAAAAACTGGCATCTGTTCCTGCTAAGAAGGGCCTGAAGATCGCTTGAGAGGGAGGTCATTTCTACCTTCACCTCAAAATAGAAACAAACTGGCTGCCCGTTCCAGACAGCACCCTTACCAGAGTTGCCCTGAGTCCAGGTTTGCAAAAGTTGGGGAGGAATTTAAGAAGAAGCTGACTAGGGCACTAGCCTTTCAAGTTGTGGGCAGGCCCAGGGTACTGGCCCCCTGCCTCCACCTACCAGCAGGGCGAGGCTGGAGCAGGTGTGGCCAGTGCATCCTTCCGGTGCCAAGTGGATGTGCCAGGAGGACAGGCTTCTTCTCTGTCTTGGCTACTCTCATGAGGCTGCTCTCGGACCGCCCCTAACTCCAGCCCATGCAAGGGGCAGAACTTGAGGAGGAAGAAAGAGGAGACCTGTGGCAGGGGCAGGCAAAGAGAGCAGTGAGGAGGAGCAAAAGGCAGACCAAGCCCTGCACCTTTGAGATCCAGGTCAGCACACCTGCTCCAGAACTAGCTCAAGAGGCGCTGAGCTGTGAGAGGCCAGTGAGTCCCTGATACCATGAAAGTGTCCTATGGCCTCCCTCCATGAGAAACTAATGCCCACCTCTAGGTGGCACAATGTAGCTGGTTTCTCTGGACAAACTCTGTTCTACCCCAAACACTGGTCAATCCTCCCCAGCCTCTCACCTAGACAAGAAAAAACACGGAAAACAAAGGGGACCTGAGAAGAGGTAGAAAGACCCAGCAGTAAAAGTCCTCATTCATACACCACAGTGTTTAAAAATATCACTTACATTACCAACATGATGTTTACAGAAGTGTAACAAAAAGGATATTAAACTTAATATGGGAAAATATACATATGAGAATAGTTAGAAAAATATGAAGGGAAGAAAGGGTAATGTGAGGGTGTAGCTACCAGAGATTAAAGCATGTGAGGCTTTGGTAATTAAAACTGCAGCAGAGAAGAAAAATACCAGAAAACAAACTCAAGAAATACTGAAACACGCAGGTAGCACTTTGAATCGGTGAAGAAAAATTGGATTATTCAGCCAAGGATGCTAGGCAAATAAACAGCCAGCTAGACATCAGGGATAAAACTAAGCTGAATGCCTACCCATATCAAAATGAATTCTAGCTTAATCAAAGATGCTAATCTAAAATAAAACCTGAATAATTCTAGAATAGAGCATGAATTAATATGGTCATAATCTTGATGAGTCTGTTCATTTGTGACATGAAAATGAAAAGCTTCGGAATGAAAAATAATATCCCATAAGCCAAAATGTAAACAACTAGGACAATAAATTCACAAAACATATGATGAAGGGTTAGTATATTTTTAAACAATTAATTAACTTATTATTTTTAGAGAGGGGGGGTCTCACTGTGTACCCAGGCTGGAGGGCAGCGGTGTGATCATAGCTCAATGTAGCCTCAAACTCAAGCCTCGGGTGAAACTCCCACCTCAGCCTCTAGAATAGCTGGGACCATATGTGTGTGCCACCACAACTGGCTAGGGTTCATTTCTTTAAGTCACAAAGAAAGCAGCATAAAAATTAGTAAAACAAAGATGAATACAGTGAGCAAAGGATATAAAAGGCAGATTATGAAAAGAGAAATACAAACGGCCACACATAAAAGGATGCTCACACTCACTACGTGTTTAATGCAAATTAAAACATGAATAACATACCATTTTCTGTGAGTCTGGCAGGAATGAGAATGCCAGATGACAGGACATGCTGCCAGGGGAGCAGGGTACACAGGTAGGCTCCCATGATGCTGGGAGAGTGCAACCTTTGGCACTGCCACAACTTCAAAAGCACCTATCTTTTGATGTGATTTGATTCAAACTTAAGAATTTGATTCTTAAATTCCATTTCAGAATGGATATGTTCCCCAAATTATAAAAATTTAAAGCTACTTAAGCACTATTTGGTAATTTAAAAGAATGAGGT